CCCTCCCAAATGGACAATGGACAGTAGACTACTGTTTGCCAACAACCTCTGGATGTGTCGCAGGGGAATTGTTGAATACTAAATTTGAAGGAGAAGCCGCAACCCCAAAAAAGGTTTTCAAAGAAAGACCAATCCACATTCGAGCCATCAAAATCTGGGGGGCTGAACCCAAAGCCATGCAAAGCACAAGACCGGCCGTATGACCGTCCCTAGCCTTCATGATGAATCTGCCTTTTTCAGACAAGTTCACTTTGCTCTCTAGTGCGGAACTCAGTAGGTTGGGTTTCCCCCGCAAAATGGGGCACCCTCAAAAAGACCCCAGCCACGCCAGCAATTTGTTGATTGGCCCAGAAGGAAACCAGGTCAAAGACTCAAGACATAAATGCCCATCCCACGCTCGTCGGCCATTCCACCAGCCTTTACTGTTTGTGTATGGGATTGATGCCCTCCACGATTGCTTAACTAGCCTAGAGGGGTTCGCAGGTTTGAACAAACTTTGCACCATTGGAGTGACCCCCCAAACAGAACTTGAGAACCCCTCAACATGCAAGCAACAGGAACCCAGAGCGGTGGTTTCAATGCAACCAACCCTCAGGATTCTATGAACCGTGGTTCATTCAATGGGCTGTGTTCCTTTCGCATTTTCTTCACGCGAGCTTTTGCTTTTGAGGGACATTCTTGTTTCTCCGCCGTCTTTTTGTTTCCACGAGATGCTTTATCTTGCGTTTTCCGGGGTCCGGGTTTGGGGTGGCTTTAGGGTTGCTTTAGGGTGGGTTCAGGGTAGGGAATCGTTTGGGTTTGGGCAGGATAAATGAGGGCTTCGTCAATTTACAGGGCTGATTGCCTGCTGAGAACCAGCAAGGTTGTTTAAACGAGTTTCTAAAGGTGTCATTTTTGTGACTTTGCCATTTTCAAGGGGATGGCCCTTGACACAGAAAACGCATGGATTTCTATGGGGGCTATGGGGAGGGGGGCTATCCCCCATTGCCCCATTCGTGGGGGCTTAAGGGCTTATACTTGGCTTGTCCGGAACTTCCCTCCCATAGCCCCCCATAGCAAGGGGTCCATGACAGATGATCCTCAACCATACTGTGCATGGACGAACTCCATTTCACACCACCGTTCAGAAACAGTTTCTGATTCGATTCCCCATTGTAAAAGCCAACCAACGAACAATGGTTTCAGCCATGTGTTCTTTTCGTGGCGCGAACCGAACGGATCTCGCATTTCAACCTGATGCTTCCCCTGGTTTCCGATTCGATTTCCCTGCACATTTCAACGAACGTTATGGTTTCAACCGTGTTTTCTTTTCGCGGGAACCGACCGGATCTCGCAACAACCATCCATCAGTCGGTCCTCGGTGAGCACCATCGCATAGTGAAACATGTCTCCGGCGCTGGCCGGCGCCTTGACGTTGTCGATGGTGCGCCCGTAGAGCCAGACTTGGGAGCCCAGGTATTCCAAGGACAACAACACCTCAGCCATCGTGTGACACAGACCAAAAGGCTCAGCTTTGTATGACACCCTTTTCACACATGGAACCGTTCGACCTGCGGGGAATCGGTGCAGGTTTGGACCACTTTCCTTCAAAGGGACCGGGGTCCCGAACGTCAAGTTCTACGTTGATTGGTGGCAGGGTATGAGCTATCCGGACACAACTCAAATCCGATCGAGTGGAATGGTCAGAAAAAGTCACCGAACACTTTTGGTGCAAGCCACTAGAATGGTCTTCTCAGAAAGTGACGAAAAGTCCAGGAAAGCCCAGGTAAGACAAGTATGTCAAAAAACACATCTACCTCATGGAGCTATCCATGCGTCAAACCGTGCCACGTCCTCCGACCTGTTACTTCCCCCGAGGTGGTCAGGGTTTGCTGGCGAGCCGTCAGGGTTGGGTGGACAAAACCTTGTTTAAACCAGCACGCCCCGAGGATTTTCCCTGAGTTCCAGCAGGGCCGAGGGATTCAACTGTTTCAACCCTGGCTTTGTTGTGCTTTTGGAACCCTCAATCAATTGGCTGTTGGGTGCTGTTGGCTTTTAAAAGTACACCATTCAACCCCAATCCAGAGGTACCCCTCCCAAATCAACAGAAACAATTGGGACGAACGCAGTGAAATTTCTCACAAAGTGCCAAGGGTTGGGTCACCCAGTGGCTTGTGCTTTTTAACCTAGCAATTCCTTTTACTAGCTGGGTCTGGTTGTTGAAACACCCAGCCCCGAGTTGTCTCCCATTGATTGGCCCAGAAAACGCGGCTGTCCCGCTCCGGAAGTGACTCGGTCTTCCGTTGGGTTGTGGGCGACTTTGCGACTTTGCGACTGGCGATTTGGTGTCCCGCAGACTTGGGATTCGACCTTCTCCGGAAATCAATCGGCCGGAGACACCAGAACCTGGTCCTCAACGAAACTTGTGTCTTTTTCTTTGGGGGGGATCCCAAATTGAGGGACACCCGAAAGGTTGTAATAGCAAAGGCTCATGTTTGCAAGGTCAGTTTCTCTGTTTGGACCCTTCATTCATGTTGTCTTCATAGCCAAATCAATCAAGTGTGGTTTCCTCAAGGGTTAATCAATCCAATGTCTGCTTCAACGGATTTTACATGATCAAAGCAATGCTTTCATTGGAGTTTGGCAGACCTCCCCCAACCTCAGCTGTTGCCACATATTCGGATTCTGGTGCTGCATTGACCCTGAAGTAAAATGAGGTGAAAGAGAGATCGCCAAAGGAAAGCTCGACTGGCGGGGGCCCGTTTGAGAAAGCCAAGGCTCTCTCAGACGGACACCTCAGCCTGAAATACCTTTATTTGCTGGGAACCCTCTGGGAAAAAATGAGAAAATGATTTCAACAGTAGATGCCCAGTAAAACCAACAGGGGAGAATAAGACATCTTCTCAAGCAAACGGAAGACGGTCTGCCGAAACTCCCCAGCTCCCACCAACTCGCAACCTCCCTCCCGGACTGGGCCGAAGTGCTCTGCCACCGATCGGTGAGTGGCGGCTCAACAAGACACCGTTCTGAGTGAAGCGCACCAGCTCCTGCGTTGCTCCGGGATTCACGGGCCAACAGCTGCAGGGGTTGTTTCCGCCTTCGAAAGCGGGAAGTTCGAGTCGCAAAAAGATTGGCAAATCGGGTGGCTTGTCTAACTGAAGAAACCGTCCGAGAGTCCTAGAGGCTGTGACTGGAAACTAAGGACCCTTTTTTCAGCTTCGAGATCTGTCTGAGGGGCTTTGGGACACGTGCACCATGAAAAGCTTCCACTTGTCCCGGAGTCCCCAACCGTAAATTTCTAATTGGGGTTACTAGGCACTTGGCTACCTTCCAGACCATCCAAGCAACCTTAATACGCTGGATTCTCTAAATCTTGCAAGCAAACCGCCCACATCAAGCCACAATACACTGCTGAACTAAGGTAAATTCCAACTTGCTCTTGTGCTTGCTTCACATTCAGTTGGCATCACCGAGTAGGGGTGGCTAACAGCCCCAAACCATGCCAAAAAAGTGAAGCCCCTTTGATATTCCCCGATGCCCACGAGCAACAACTAGGGGCTTATGCATCAAACTTAGGATTGTGCCAATTGCCATGTTGAACAGCCCAGCCTTAGCCTTCTTGCAACTTAACTAATTAGCTGGCCCACATACAGCTTTAAAGCACAAACTGGTCGGGTCAAACGGAGGTAAGCCTAAAAATTAGCCCGTGCCAAACCAGAATAGTTTGTCACGTGAGTGGCGTACCCTCACGTTGCCATGGAAATTGGGGTCTGAAGGAAACATGGGAACCATGGGCAATGCTTCCAGGTTTGACACGTGACGTCCTCGAAAAAGTTAAACCGCCCACAGTACTCCAATCCTTTCTGGGGCCCAGGCAAAGGAGGGTAACCTTTCAACGGGCCCCACATAACAAAAATAACGACAAGTCCGGGTCCATCCTGGCCGAGGCCATCAGTCAACTTGGTTGGCTGCACCCAGAACTCCACTGTGCCTCGGTCGGGAGAACCTTCCCCGCGAAGCTTCTCTGGTCTCAAAAAAAAAGAAAGATCCCATTTCAGCTCCTTTGCGCCTCCTGAAACGTTATTCTTTGATGACTTGCACCTGTTAAGACCGAACGTGGATTTTTTTCCCGCCCAGGGGTGTGGGGGGTTTAGCTTGTCCTACAAACCCTGGTCACTCCCCACATAGGAACCTGGCGCAACCCTTTTGCGGCGTGGTTCAGTAGGGGGCGACTCCCAAAATGGCGGGCTTTCATTCGGGTTTGCCCTTGAACCAACCTGAAAAGGTTACCGGCTGCAAACAAATACAGCCCTTCTTCAAATGTTCATCGGGTGAGTGTCAGTGACAGTAGCTCAAGTCACGTCACTTTCCAAACCGGAAAGGTCCGTAGCCGGCATGCACCAAAATTGAAAGCGTCGAAGAGAAACTCCTTTGGGCTGTTCAAAATAGAGGGTTGGCCAATCTCAATCATGGAAGACGATCCGGGGGATTCCCCAAAAGGAGGATGGTCTTCCAAACCTCTCCTGGCAGCTTCATGATGGGATGGAAAGGATTTCCTATGAACAGATCCGCTTTTTCTGCGCCCCAAAAGGGAGGCTTGTAATTTAGATTTAAGGCTGTTAGGTCAAACCAAGGGTAAAAGAAGGAACGGCCCCGTCGTTGGTTGGCGCATTCGAGAGAAAACGCCTGAAAATTCCGTTTGCCCCAGGTGCCACACAAAACATGTCTGTTTCCTTTCAGCCATGGCCATGTGGCCTTAAAACCAACCTGGGGCAAAACAGACGTAAGCAAAAAAAGCAGCGCCCAAATCCAATCGACGTTGGCTCTCGGAGCATATAGGGCCGCAAAGGCTCACTTCGGCGATATGGAATCACCAGGCAGTATAACCACGGGAAGAGTTGAATATACCTCCCCATGCTCTGGCAAAGGGCAGTGAAGCCAAAGCAGTTCACAAGGGCCACAAACCGGTCTGGACCGGAGATCAGCGTGGGAAGGACCACACCTTTCGTGTGGCATCAAAACTTTTTTCTTGGGGACCTCTTGAACGCCAAGCATTCCCGACAACCACGAAAAGTAGCAAGGGGCAACTTGGGCTCTCCAACTCCGGACCTGGGAATTGCAGAGGCGCAAATTCGGACCTACGAGCAAACAAATGCTCAAAAGAAAGGGTTCTTACGCACGTGGCTCGCGAACCCGAGGTTTCCTACGGTGGCTCTCTTTTGCGGGTGGTTGACTTTCAAGGGACCCCCCTGAAGCAAAAAGAAAGCACACTATAGGTACCTGGGCCCACATTTGGAATATACTCTGGACTGCCCTCAGATCCCGTTTTTCTTCTCTTCTCTTTGTTTCTTTTTTTTGGGGGGGAATTTGTTTAAACACTTTTCGCGGGTTCAGTGGACACCCCCACCAAACAAAAAGAACAACACCTAAAAACCTAAGGAACCGCAATGCTGACCCCATATTAATCAACCGTGGGGACAAGCCCCTCCAAAAGTGGTCTGATTCTAGCCACATTTCACCCAGATTTTGGACATCCCCCTGAACAAGAAACTGGGTGGCTGTGTTTTTCTTGGGGTCAACATTACCTAGGTCCTCCAGTAGAGGGATTAGAATCAGGGTATTTGTTTTCTGTAGTTTATTTTAGTAGGGGAACCCTCCCAACCAAACAAGAATCGGTGGAGAAGGGCACTACTGGGGGACCCAGTTCCTCTTTCATCTAGAGTCATTGTGAGGGTGAACCCGGAGGTGCCCCAAACTGACCACCAACAAAAAAGCGCCGACTTCGCCGAGTTCTGCGAGGCGCAGGGCGGCCCCGGCAGCTCGGGCTGCAGCATGACGAAGTCATCCAACCCGTCGAACTGCAGAGCCCAACCGAAGGCTCCTGAACTCGGCTGCTGTCTGCGAAGCCCTGCGAAAAGTTTTAAACTTTTAGTGGCTTCACGGACAACCCATTAGTTGGCGCCAAAAGTTGAAGTACATCCCTTGGCAAAATGCACCAAAGTGAGACTTGCGGGGAGCGCGTCACTCGGATTTGGATGATTTGGAGTGCCCGGCTTGGTGGTTTGGTGGTTGAGGAGGGGTTTCCCAAAGAAGCTTCCCTCTGGAAAAGGGGGTTATTTGGAGCAGGGTTGTGGGATCACTCGGGGTTTATCCAACCACTTCTGTCATGCAAGGGAATCCCCCCTTTCTATGAACAATTTAGTCTTTGGGAAGCCCTTTCTGTTATGAACAACTTAGTCTTTGGGAAGCCCTTTCTGTTGTATCATAGAAGTGGTCATTCCCACGGCCCTGATTTGGAGTGCCCGGTTTGGTGGTTTGGTGGTTGAAGAGAGACTTCCCCACTGAAGGCTCTACAAAAGGGGGTTGAAATCCCACCACCAATCCACCAACTACGGGCTACCTGACTTAATACGGCCGGGACGAACAAAGGGACCCTATTTCAATGATCGGATTTGGTTGCTTTAACCAGCTCAAACAGGTACGCCCCCAAATCTGCGGACCCCCCCTCTTGCCCTGGTCCTGTGAAAATCTCGGCTCGAGCGCTGAATAAAGTCGCCAACAGCCAGAAGGCCTGCACAGGCTCCAAACCGGTTAATCGAGATTTGGATTTGTTTGGAGGCTAGGCGTTCCCTTCACCATTTGGTTTCAAAGGGACTGGGGTTCAGGCTCTCAAAGCTCCCCAACATGGAGGATACCAACACAAGAATGGACTCCCGCCCGATCCGACCCCCCTGCGAATAGCTTGCACGGTTTGCTCCTGGTTGGAGCAAGAGCCTTTTCCTGGGTCCTTTAAAGTGACATCATCAAATGCTGATTCAAAGGGCAATCACCCCAACAAGTACGTAATTCAAGGATCTCGCCGGGAGACGAGCGCTTGTCTCAAAATAGGGACCCCCCCCCCGAAAGTGGGTGGCTTCCTGTTGGTTCTCAAAAAAAGGCACCCTCAAAAGAAGACCACCCCAGGCAAGAATCAGAACCACAAAGCCGTTGAAAAGGTCAAGTCTGGCACAAGGCATCTTGTATGGGTTGGAGCGCTTAACAGTTGGACACCAACTGAAAAGACGCTGCCTGCTGGGGTCCTGAGACACACACATGATGGCAAGAACTGATAATTGCTCATGAGACACCCCTCCCAGTCATAAAAGGACTTTTGGGTCAATATGAGTCTATATGCGATCGAAACTTGTAGCACATCTCATGGTTTCTGAACTTGGTTGCTGGCGAGACCCCTCCGCAAAAAGTTTAACTTGTGGGTTCAATGGAAACCCCCTTGATTTCCCAAAAAGTCAAAGTCCAAAGATCCAACCCAGTAGCAGTCGATTGAAGAGGAACCCTTGTTTTGTTTGCAGAGGATTCCTTTGCCCAGGCGGACCAGCAGAACATCCCTGAACAAGGTCTCTTGGCTGCACCCCTTCCAGCTACAAGCACAATATCAGGCTTCCCCAAATCTCACCTTGAACCATCACTCCACCAAACTCCCTTCTTTGGGGATCCTTTGTAGCCTTTGTTCTTTTTTCAATGAATCTCTCTCTCTTTCTCTCTCTCGCGCAAAATTGGCCCAACAGGTCATGTTTCAATCCCGCAAAAGGGGCAACTCGCTTGAGTCGGCTGGTCGGACTGCGTGTCTACTGCCACAATTATCTTCCCAAAGTGAGTCCAGATACAGGGGAGGTGCAGGGTTCCACTTGACAACCCCAAAGTGGACTTAAACCCAGGGGTGCTCGATTCCCCCAAAAGGGGTTTAAGCCTACCTGGTAGTCAAACAACGGAACCCTAGGGAGGTGAGGAAATATGGGGAACCCGACCTCCTTCCAACATCCAAGCCAGCTTTGAGGGCAGAGCACTGCGCCGTATAGAAGGGCGTCGCTTTCTTGGAAGAGGCGGTCCTTTTAGGGGAAATAGATGGCCCTAGATGATTAAACCACCAGGTAAACCAGGGCCATCTGTTTTTCTAGCAAAACCACCAAAAAGGACACGTTGCTTTCTTGGAAGACTGCGTTCCCGAAGAGGCGGTCCGCATGCTTCATAACCCGAGGGCCCGAGGAGAACAAAGAGCAATCGGGCTGCTTGGGCTCGGTCAACGACATCAACCAGAAGGAAATCTGGCTCACCTTTCCAAGAGGCGATCTTTTGATTCGCCACGCCCATGTTTTCTCTTTTTCTCGGAAACCATCTTGCAGCCATGGGCCAATCTTCATGTTGGTTCTCGCCATGCTGGGCCTTGTGTCTAATTATTCGAAGGTTGAATGGCAAGCCCTGGTTGGCTCAAATGTGTACGCTGAAAATCTGATCAGATTCCATCTTGTATTTTCCGTCAACCTAACAGATGTTACCGTTTTGGAGGGGACCCTGTCTCCAATTCACTAAAATTACTTTTCTTTTTTTGGTCGATCTCAGGCCTTGGAAGTCGGCTTCTCCTTATTCGACTGAAATGGGGCACGTGCCTGGGCATGGCTTGGCCATGCCATGACATTAGCGGAGGGCTCGGCAGGGTTGCTCCGATTCGATGGATTGATTCCTTTGGAACACAACAGCTGCGAGAGGGAGTGACCTTCCAAGTTTCCGGGTTTTTCTGGGAAACCATGAGGGAGGGTCTTTCTTGGGGCTGCCTATCGCACCACCAAGAACACGAAAGCAACCAATACCAATTCTTGACCTGTAAAAGGCTCGAATGCTGGGGCCCTAAGGGACATGTTCGACCTTTGGGGGATTGTGAGGTTCGGAGCAACCCTGCTTTGCCCAGGCTATCCTCCCAACTAGTAAGCTGACAGGAGGAAGTGCCTCTAGCCCTCGAACTGTCTGATCTGGGGGGCATGGACAGCGCTCCTGGCTTGGAAGTTCTTGGGTTTAGATTGCCACAAGAAAAATACACCCATTTTTTTTCACGCAGATGAAACAGAGGGAAAAAAAACACAAGAAAGATACCCACGCGAACTGCACGCATGTGAAGCCGGGGGTGCATCGGAAAAGGCAACACATGGCGCCCCAGCAATCCTTCGGGGCGCATGGATCGGTTGTCTCAGCGAACCACGTGATGCTTCAACCAACAAAACGCGGCGCTCCGCGCTCGCCGAGCGCTCACCTTCGAGCCCACGGCGGCGGGGCTTGTGACCCGTGGAAACCGAGCGGAGATGTCGGGGGGTTCCCTCGCCCTCCCCAACCAAAGAGGGGAAAAAGACAAAGAAGAGAGTCCCCCCCCCCCCCGAAAAAAAAAAAAGAAGAAGAAAAAAAGAAGAAGAGAGACAAAAAGGAAAAACCAGAAGAGAGAGTTCAGGATCCCCGGTTGTGCCCGAGTGGTCCGCCAGGTTCAATCCTGGGTTCCCAGTTTGTACATGTTCTGACCGCCGGCGAGGCGAAGATGGAAACACAGGCGCACTCTTGAAACACATCGATGGTCAATGCGCTTTGAACCAAACTGAAACCGCTGGAACCTGTCCATGAAAGGCTCTTTTGGAGAAATGGGCCACAAGCCATTCTTTTTCAGGGCAATGCGGCCGCTCCTTTTTGCACGTAGCCAAGTCCCGAGCTGAGTGAGGTACTGCCGAGCCTTCCAAGCTCGCAACTTTGCTCAGCGCTCTGAATCTGCCTGCTACAGGCTTCAATGCTCACTCCCACCTCACGGCACAAATGGAGCATGGACACATTCCTCTGGGGGGTTGTGCCCCCTTGCACACCGCTTCCATTCATCAGGACCTGGGTGCTCTTGAAGCAACTTTGAAAGATCTTAGCACATGGGTCTTCTCGGCGATGCAGATGCTTGCGCTCGCGTCGCATTGAAAGTCACGGGGCTTGATGCGACCATACGCGTCCTGCCAGGGACAATCAAACTGTTTACCAAAGCGGAGTTGCATCTTGATGCGCCACGCTTATCTGTTGGTGAACCCAACTGGTGCACCCGTGAAAGAGAGCCTGAACCCAAGGCAGTTGTAGCCGGCACCTCACAAGAGCCAAAAAGGAACAAATCAAAGAGCGAACTGAACTTCCCCCGCTAGCACGTACGAAAATAGAGGGTCCTCGAAGAGGATCCTCCAGCAGTAGATCATAATAGATCGTGCTTTTGCTTTTGGTGTTTTTTTGGGCCCCCAAAACGGAGTACAGGTTCTTTCTACGCAGGCACTTCCTTCTTGGTGTAAGTGACCTCCAGCAAAAAACACATGCCCAAACCCGTTGCCCAAACCCGCAGTTGCCAGATTCACTGAAAGCTGCCATGTTCTCTTGTGGGAATCAACATCAGAGAAGCGAAGGGAAACCAGTGCTTTCGCGGTCCATATCCCAGATTCACCTGGACGCCCATGTGGAGACCCCAAACCCACGCTGACTTTTGGTCCCGAAATGGAATCCCAAAATTCCGTCATTTTTCTAAGGGACACCGGGACGCAGTTGTTCTTTTGGCTCCCCTTTCAACCTACCGAAAGGGAACACCTGGGGAAAAATGCAGCTAAACAAAAATTAAAACACACATAATAATAATAATAATAATAATAATAATAATAATAATAATAATAATAATAATAATAATAATAATAATAATAATAATAATAATAATAATAATAATAATAGTAATAAAAATAATAATAATAATCATAATAATAGTAATAATAATAATAACAAAACAAACTACGGCCATAAGGAGCCCCCAGCGTGCCCACAAGCAGTTCGAAGCTGATCGATCGAAGCCCCGCGCGTGACTAGCATCGGCCGAGACCCCTGTGTCAGGCGCCAGGGGCCCATGTTCAAGTGACACCTGAGAAAAATGCGCCAAAACTCCGAGAAGTCAGATCAAACTGGCCTGATCGGTGACAATAGATGGCCTGACTTCTTGATGGTGACACCTGTTTACAAACTGACCATCAAGAACTGATCAGATCAAATCTGGGCCCCTAGACTCCATGTCACGCCAGCTAAAAAGTTCTTCCCCTCCAGCAGGTTTGCGCGTCTGTGTCATCCCTTAAAAGGGGCGCGAGCCTGGAATTCGGTTGCGTGAAGATGTGCGCCTGACGGCGCCTGGAATCCCAGTAGGATGCCGATCGCATGCGCGACTGTGAAACGTGCCCGAGGTTCGCACCATCCTCTGACATCCCACTCTTCCATCTAAAACAGGAATAGGCTTGCAGGAGATCTGGCCTCATTGTTTCGCCATGACCAAAGCCACCGTTGTCAATTGGTACGGTTTCGGGACCGTTTCTGACTTTGACCAGTGAAACGTACGGGCAATGACATAAATGGACTCCACTTCGATGGTTGACTTGGCTGTCTTTTTGTATATTGTAGTCTTTGCCTAGGGGGTGTGTTGGGGGGTGGGGGGTACCTGACGCGCGGAAGGGGGATAGTAGCTGACGCGCGGATGGGGATGGGGGGTACCTGACGCGCGGAAGGAAAATAGTAGCTGACGCGCGGGCTGGGGTACCTAATGCCTTCAAGGGGTTTGTCACAGGTCCCGAAAAGTATCTTGCGGAAATGGACCTTGTGGACATCCGGGTAGGTACTTTTGTGAGCCCAAACTCAACGACAGTTGTCAAAGACTATTTGTGTCCACCCACCATTTGTCGAAAAAGTTCATTGTCATATCTTTGGAGTGGAGACAAGGGGACAAACAATGATGGCGAAGAGCAAGAGCGAATCTACCTCAGCGCTTTAAAAATAAATTGCGAGGCGCGAACTTGGTAGCCTGTCTACACTCCGGCAGATTCCAAGGATCGCTTGAGGAAACCGCATGAAGCCACGTCCATGTGTGCCACAGTCAAAGTCCATTGCTGCCCTTCCTAAAGCAACCCAACCTGCAGGGGCATGCGCCGAAAAAAAAAATTGAAGAGGTCGGATTTTGCCGCAGGGGTGAGTCTTTGTTCTGGGACTTTGTTTGCACAATGGCTGGCTTTTGGTTTCAATCACCTCACTCCCATCGCGCTTCCGAACTCGGAAACCACTTGGACCGCTTTTCTGCACCCGGGGGGAACAAAAACAAAAACAAGAGTTGTTGAAATCCCAGAGGACGGGGGGACTGGCGGAATTTCGTGCGTGCAAAAAGGCAGCTTGGGATTCCCGTGGGCTTTGGTGAAGCTAAATTGATGCACCCAGACTTGAGCTGGTATGAACCCTTGGTTGATTAAGCCTTTGTGGTTTCTGGGATGCTTCTGGGTAGGCTTCGTCTAGTCGCAATTCGGCGTTTCTCTTCCCTTCTAGCAGCGGCGCAAGGAGCGCTTTTGCTAGTTTTTGGAGGTGGAGTGAACATACACTCCAGTAAGGGTTCCCCATGTATTCAACCATTCTCAACAAACAGAAAAACAAAACGTTCGAAGAATGCGCACTACGACCTAGCGGGTCATGGACTAACCGTGGCGATTCGGGTTCTTCTGCTCTGTGAGCATAGGGTCAGCTTTTGAAGGTTTCTGGGGGTCCGGAAACCGAAGAAAACCACAACAAAAAAAGGGTTGAACTTCTTCATGGGGAATCAACATGGAAGCTTCGGTTTGCCTTTCGATGTAAAAAGAGACACCCCAGAGGGTGTCCAGGTGCTATGTCACAGACCCCATTGCAAGCCAGCCCCATTTAAGTTACTTGATTCGAAGTCGTCTTCCAACTTCACGCTCAACAACAGGTCAAAAGATAGAGAATCCTGCAACCATGTCCAGTTGTGATAGATTTCCTTCAACAGTAAACATAAAGAGCATGTATTCTGAACCACAAATGACTCACATTGACCCATATATATGTATATATATGTATGTATATACTCAATATTGGTATAGAAAGTGGCTGCACTTGGACAGGCTTCACGTCATCTCTCACATCCACTCGCCAAATGGGAAACTCAATCAACATGGGCCGAAAGCAGAATGGACCTGATCGGCACAAGGCTACCGCTGAACTATTCGCGCCTGTGATTTGGTCATTGGGGTCCGTCCGTTTAGTTGGCACCTATTTTGGTTTGTGGTTTTAATGGGAAACCAAAAGGACAACCGAAGCCATTTCGTGCTCCGATTCCTAAAAAACAAAGCCCTGCCGAATGTGACTCAAAGCCAGGTGCTAGAGGGTCTACCCACAACTGGTGCAGAATTGAATGTCCGCGCCTACTGGGACTGTCCCGTTCACATTTTGATGTTCATGTGTAGTTCTCTTTGGGCCCGCGTTTGATTCGGGTCCGCCGGCGCTCGAATCATCGCCTATCTGTTCCCAAGGCGGCCCCGGAAAACAGCAAAGATCGCCAAGCGTCCCGACATGGAAAAGGATCGAGTGAAGGGTCTTCACGGGCTCGTTTTGGACGAAATATTGTCTAGCCCTGTCCACTGCCTGCAAAACAAGGTCATGCCTGAAACAAACAACAAAGAACAGGTAGGGAGTTTCTGCCACACTGTCAAGAAGTCGCCGGCATCTGGAACTGAGCTTGTCTCGAGCGGAACTTGCTATCGCGGACTTCACTCCGCAATCGGGCTCGCTCCGCGTGAGCCTGGGTATGGCGTCGAACCTGGATTGATAAACCCCTGGTTTGATTGAGCGGCCCCATCTC